CTGCACAACGACCTTACTGTAGGAAAGAGTTACTGGCCCAAATAAAGAACAGCGTCTTTAATTTAGCCTTTGCTTTCACATTTGCCTGTTAATAAAATAATTTTGGAATCTTAGCCATTTGTTGAATGTTTTCCTTCAAATAATCCTGTGTCTAGAAGGACTTTAAAAAATACATAGAATCTATCTTTCTCGCTTAAAAATTTTTTTTGTAGTTATAGATGGACAGAATGCCTTTATTTATTTGTTTATCTTTATGTGGTTCTAAGGATCGAACCCAGCACCTCACACATGCTAGGCAAGCGCTCTGCCACCGAACCACAACCCCAGCCCTCATTCTTACTTTTTGTTAATCATCTTTCATCTTCAACAGGGTAGGACCTTTAAAGGCAGTGCTGGGCATTCATTCAGTTGATTTACTAGAATTTTAAAAGTTCTTGTTGGGACAAAAATAATATAGCTTAATTATTAGAAAAGTTTTCAAATATAGGCAAGTAAAAAAAAAAAGGAGCAAAAATACCCCCAATCCTCTTTCCCCATGCAGCTACCCTCTCTTGAACAACCTATTGAGTAGCTTTCAGACACACACACACACACACACACACACACACACACACACACATTCATATACACCAATATATATTTTGGTTCTGCAAAAATATTTGTAATAGCTTTATTAACATATAACTTAAAGCTGGGCATAGAGACGCACTCCTGTAATCCCAGCCTTTTAGGAGCTAAGGCAAGAGGATTGTGAGTTCAAAGCTAGCCTCAGCAACTTGGTGAGAACCTATCTCTAAATAAAATATTAAATTGGGGTTGGGGATGCAGCTCAGTGGTTAAGCACCCTGGGTTCAATCCCTGGTACCAACCAACAAACAAACATATAACTTATATACCATAAATTAATAAAGTACATGATTTAGTGGTTTTTAGTAAATTCACAGAGTTATACAACCATCACCACTAATTTCAGTACATTTCCATCACTCCAACAAGAAACCCAAGTTTCATTAGCAGTCACTCCCTGTATAATATGTGGCCATTTGTGTCTAGCTTTTCCCAACTAATCAAATTTCAAGACTCATCTATGTTTTAACATGTATCAGATGGCTATTCCTTTTTTATGGGTGACATATATCCCATTGTATGGATATACCACATTTTGTTTATTCATTCATCACTTGGTGAACATTGATTATTTTTATTATTTGGCTGTTATGAGTAATTTGCTATGAACATCTATGAGGAAGTTTTCGTGTAGATATATGTTCTTAGTTCTCTGGAATATGCACTTAGGATTGGAATATCTGGGTTACATGGTAATGTTATATCTGACTTTCTTAGGAACTGCCAATATATTTTCCCAAGTGTATGCACCATTTTATATTCCTGCCAACAATGTATGAGAGTTCCAATTTTTCTGTGTTCTCACCAAATTCTTGCTTTTATTTTTTTAAATAGCCATACTAGTTGGTAGAAATGGTATTTCCTTGTGGTTTTGATTTGCATTTCCCTGAAGACTAACAATGGAAAGAAATACTTATTGACCTTTTTAAATATCTTTTTTGAAGAAATGCCTGTTTAGATATTTTACCCATCATTTTTTAATGGTTGAGTTACAAGAGTTTTTTTATTCTAGATATGAGTCTTTTCTCAATGCATGATTTGTACATACTTTGTCCTGTTCTTTAGGTTATCTTTCACTTTTGTGAGGTTGTCCTTCGAAACATGGACTTTTAAAAATTAACAGAGGTTTATTTTTTTTTCTTTTCTTTCTTGTACTTTTGATATCTCTAAGCAATCACTGCCAACCGAGAGTCATGTTTTCCTCAAAGAGTTTTACAGGTTTAGCCCTTACATTTAGGGATTTGAGTTATTTGAGTTAACTTTTGCATATGGTGTGAGGTAAGGGCAACTTCCTTTGCATGTGAATATCCGGTTGTGCCAGCACTACTTATTAAAAAAATTCTGTTCTCATTGAATGGTCTTTGTACTCTGTTGAAAACCAAGTGATCATAAAGATAAGGGTTTATTTCTGGAATATCCATCCTACTCCTTTGATATATATGTTTATCTTTGAGCCAGCACCACACTGTCTTGATTATTGTCACTTTGTATTAAGTTTTGAAATCTGGAAGTATAAGTCCTTTGACTTTTTTTTTTTTCAAGATTGTTTTGACCATTCCAAGTCCCTTGCATTTCCACATGAATTTCAGGATCTGCTTGCTGATTCCTGGAAAAAGAAAAGCAAAGTTGAGATTTTGATAGATATTATGCTCACTTTGTAGATTGCTTTGGGGGATATTGCCATTTTAACAATATTGTTTTCCAATCCATAAGCATTTATGGATGGTTCCCCAATTTACATTAGTTATAATTTTTCAACTTATCAATAATATATAGCAAAATTCAGCAGAAATTGTACTTCAAATCTTGAATTAAATTTTTTTTCCTGGGCCTGCAATATGCAGTACCATATTCTCTTTAGATTCTGGTCAGGGCAGGAGTTGTAAATCACAACTTCCAATCAACCACATGATCACAAGGGTAAATTACCTATACTCTATAGTTTGCTGTGCTGCTAAACTATGGAAGTAGGAAAGTTAGGTATATTAAATGAATGCATTTTTGACTTAAGATATTTTCAACTTATGATGAGTTTATCAGGATGTAACTCCATTGTAAGTCAAGGGACATCTGTATTTTGGTCTTTTAAAGTATCTTTCAAAGATGTTTGTAGTTTTTATTTTACAAATATTACCATTTTTTGGTTAAATTTATTTTTAATAATTTTATTCTTTTTTATTTTTTTATATATGTAATTGTTTTCTTAATTTTATTTTTTGGAGTGTTCATTGTTAGTGTCTAGAAATACATTTGATTTTTGTACATATATTATTGAATATCTATTCTGTTAAAATATTTTGAACACTTTTCTATGTCAAAAAATATACTTCTATGGGGATTAGGTGTATATCTCAGTGGTAAGAGCATTTGCCTAGCATATGTGAGGCTCTGGTTTTGATCCCCAATACTTTGCAATAAAAGATTTTATATATATATATGTATATATATGATTATATATGTACACATGTGCAAAAAAGATTATATATGTATGTGTGTTTATATTGATATATATATACTTTTATAATATTATTTTATGGTTTTGTAATATTTCACCATGCAGATGTACCATCATTTACCAATTCCTTAGTATTAAACATTTACCTAAATTCCTTATTATTAAGCATTTACCTAAATTCCTTATTATTAAACATTTACCTTTAAACTTAAAAAAAGTATAAACAACTCTGACAAATACTTGCCAATGAATCTTTGAAAATAGCCCCAATTATTTCCTGGATATAAATCTCTACAAGTGGAAATGTTAGGGTAAAATATATGCCTATTGGAGTCATTTGCTAAGCACAGCAAAAATTGTCCTTCTAAAAGCTGATAAGTTTTAGTTTTACCAGTGTGTGACATTTGAGTCCATGGATTCTTTTCAACCATCAGTTTTTAAAAATCTTTACCAGTTTGATAAATAAAATATGAGTTTAATTGGTGCTTTGCTTGTATTTCTATTTCCAGAAAGGTCAAACTTTTTAAAACAAATATGTTTATTAGCTTTTTTAAAGTTTCTTTTTCTGTGAATTGCATTTAGGTCTCTTTAGACCTAAATGGTCAGCTTCTCTGTACTTGTTTTGTATATGGACTAAAGCCTTTAATCCTATGCCATTTATGGTATGCATTTTCTCCCTCTTTTGTTTTTTCTTTTTTATTTAGTTAGTTTTTTGATGCACAAACATTTATTTCAGTTTTTATGGAGGTAACTTATTGGTCTTTATGGCTTTTCCTTTCCGTGTTATGCTCACAATTCTCCCCATATTTTTTGGAGAACACATGGAAGATTAAATGGACATATTTTGTCCTATAACATATCACAGGATTTAATAAATATACCAGTCATGTCTTTGTCCTTTATCTTAGTTCCTGTGGGCAGCAGTAACAAAATTTCCTACACTCCATAGTCCATAAACAACAGAAATTTACTTCCCATAGTTCTGGAGGCTGATCAGTTTAAGATCAAGGTGCCAGCAGATATCCTGTCTGGTGACAGTTCCACTTTCTGGTTCATAGCAGTATCTTCCCTGTGTCCTCAGATGCTGGAAGCTGCCAACCAGCATCAACTCCAGTCTCTTTTGTAAAGTTCACCAGTTCACTAGAACCACCTTCTTGGCCTAATCACCTCCTAAAGTCCTTACCTCTTAAAATTATCATTTTAGGGATTAGGATTTTGGGGGATACAGGAACACTCAGACCATAAAAGCTTGCAAATGTACCTTTTTTTTTTTTAATAGTTGGACACAATGTCTTTATTTTACTTTCTGTGGTACTGAGGATGAACCCAGTGCCTCACTCATTGTAGGCCAGCGCTCTTCCTTTGAGCCACAACCCCAGCCCCCCCTGACCCCAACAAGTATACTGTTTTATCCCTGGTTCTGGAGCCTTGCAGAGCAGCCCTTTCACAGCTGCCCTCTTCTTTCCTTCTGTTTTCAAAGCTCCAGTCTTACTTCCTCTGGACAAGTCCCCTGGTCATCCTGGCCCACAACAATGACATCTCCTCTAATTGCTTAGACGGTCTATGTGGACTTAGTTTCAGCAAGGTGGACTGCATACCGGACCAATCCTCAGCTCTGGGCAAGTACCCTTTGTCCTGAGGCCAGCGTGACAGCTCCAGTAACTTACGCTCAACATCTCAAAAATTGAGCTGATGGGGCATCTAAAGGGTTTCCTTTAAGGTACCTTTCTGGCTCGCTAACCACATCTCGTATTATTGGCTATCCTTTAAATGTGTACATTCCACCACACCTAATTCGGTGAGTTTCTTTAATCCCCGCTAGTATGTGGCTGTAGTGCCAGGGATTGGACTGCACGTTGAAGAATGGACAGATCAATACTTGTCTGGGGACAACGTCTTCCATGAAAGTTCTGCAGGTGGTGGCGACTTCCTGCAAATCTCTTAGGTCAGGAGCCAGATTCACTGGCTTTGGCCCGAGATCGTGAGTATCTGGAGAGCGATCTGATTTCTGCCCTGGCGCTGGGAAGGTCGGGCCGTTCCCGGGCCCCGGCTCGGGCTGCCTGGGTACTAGCCCGGGAACGCCTCTCCCGTTCCCCGCCCGCGAAGTTTGCCGTGCGCCGGGCGTCCTCAAAGACTACGCCTGCTGGCCCCAGGCTGGGCGCTGTCAGTTCCTGATCAGGCGGGTGCCCGCCCGGGCTGGTGCAGTTTCCAGAGCCGAAAAGCCACCCCCACGCCCGAGCTCCGCGCGTGGAACTAGGGGCGCGGCTCCGGCGCCGCCCACACCCAGGGCTGCTCTGGCCCCTCGAGTTGCAGGCTCCACGAGATACGCACGGAGAGTGGCGGCCGCCCGCACGGCTGTGCCACCGAGTCCCTTGGCGGGTGGCCCAGTCGGGAAGACCCTGCGCCCCGGGATGGCGGCGGCCGCGCGGGCTCCAGACTGGACATCGCTGCCAGTCCTGCGGTCGCCACGGTCGCTGCTTGTGCTTGTGCTGGTGCTGCGGGTGCCATCAGCCTGGAGTGCGACAGCTCGGGACCCCGCCGAGGAGCTCAGCCTGCATCCGCCCTACTTCAACCTGGCCGAGGCGGCGAAGATTTGGGCCACTGCTACCTGCGGGGAACGGGGACCCGGCGGAGGGCAGCCCCGGCCAGAGCTCTACTGCAAGTTGGTTGGGGGCCCCAACGTCCCGGGCAGAGGCCACACCATCCAGGTATGGTCCCGCAGAGAGCGGGGGTGGGGTGTGGGGCGCCAACTCCTTCCCCGCGGGGCAAGGCACTAGACCAAGGGATGGGTACTTTCCCCACGAGTGTTAGGTGACCCCATGCGACAGGGAAGTGTGCCCCAGCCCCGCACGTGCCAGGGACCCCGGAAGGTGGCATGGTGCCGCAGGAGCGAGCCTGTGGGAGCATTGCCCTGGCAGCATGCCGCCCGAGGCGGGATGGGCGAAGCGCGGAGATGAGTGAAGGCTGTGGTCAGGTTCCAGCTTGTAGAGGAAAAAGTCCGAAGCTGCGCTGTAGGGATGCAGCGACTGTCCATCACCCAGGTGGCACCCGGCCAGACGGTGAGAGCTCCAGGCTTCAAGGGCGCGCCTCTTGCCAGGCTCTTCATCTTCCTGAATTTATTACCAGGCGTTGGTGGAAGTTACCTTCTGTTGTGTAGTTCAAGAGAGAACTGTCAGGTTAAATCCATAGTATCACTCTGATGTCACTGAAAAGATTCATTCCCTCTCCACCACCCACCCCCAAGTGCCACCATTCAGTCATTGGGGCAAAGGAGATCTTCAGTGATCACACTTCTGCCGGGAACACCTGGTTGAAAAGATAGTGCAGCTGGTGCTTAAGTGAGCATCTTGTGGTGTGCCAGGCTCTGACGCGCGCCTCCCAACCTGCTGGGTGGCGGCTCAGGAGAGGAGGCTAAGAAAAGTGCTCGCTTCCTGGGCAGGGCAGCAGCATTTGAATCCAGTCCTGGCTCCAAATCCTCTGTGCTAAGTAGAAATCGCCTACCTGTCCTGGGTAGGACTGCTGAGGATGGAGAGTTGCCATAAGAGGGAGTCATTTTGGAACTTGGGCTGGGAAATAGCAGGATTATCATTGCGTGTCTAGTATGTTAGAGATTCTTTTGATGGTGCATATTCATAAATGACAAGTAGTTGAACACGCAGTGTTCTATATATATTGATTTATTTATAAATTATATGCATGTATTTGCTATTAATATGCTGTGCACATTATAAAATATGTAGTAAGAGAAATTAAAAATGATGAAAATCCCTTTTACCATTTTAATATAGTGTATATATTATAAAATATGCAAAAGAGAAACTGAAGGTAAAGTAACAATAATGAAAATACCTTAGATTTTTCTCTAACAGTTCTTGAATAATTTTGTCTTTTTAAATTATTTTGGGATGTGGATGACTAAAGATATACAAATAAAAATACAAATAATTATTTTTGACATGTTTAGTTTAGCACTTATGACTCAACAATTCAGTTGATTTTATATTAATACTTGATTTTAGTGGTTGCATAACTGAAAAAATACACTTAAAAATATGTAGATTTAAATGAAGAAATGCATTGAACTATTGTATTCCAGAGCTAGCTACCTATTTTATGGAGTTCTTTGTAAAATGGATATGTGGAGCCCTTGTTTAAAAATTATTTAAAAATTCAAGATGGTGACAGCAGAACATTAAACTAACAAGAGACCCTATAAGTGCAAACCCTTTGTGACTACATAGATCTTCCGCTGTTCCAGATCCCTAAATCATTGCACTTATAGTTTTCCCTATCCTTCAATTATTCTAAAGTTTTTTTAAAAGTTGAAATTTGGTTAGTAATTATTTTCTTTTCAGGTTGTATTTGGGTACTTTCTACTAGCGAAAGTGCTGCGTTTTAATGTTTTAAACAATAGATTCAAAACTCACTGCAAGTTTTTTTTTGGAAAATATTAAAATATATTAGGGAAGTTTTGTTTCCTTGTTTTCAAAAATATGAGTATTTTTAGAGTTATGCAGTTCTATTTTTTCAGTAACAAAAAATGAAAACATTTCTAAACATCTGTTTTTCAAACTGCCTTTTTCAAGGCATACATTTCCTTAAGTAGTGTCTACTTTTGTGCATTTTGTTAAAACAACACTTTTACTTTGAAGGAACAGAGTGAGGGCCTTCAGTATTCTTTAAATATCTATCAGGCAGTAAACTGCTGGCAGCCACTTTTTATTCCAGCAAAAGTCAGCAAATTCTGACGTTTTATGGAAACCACCTCCCCCCCAGGTAACTCTGTCTTAAGGTTAAAAGGTCTTTTAAGTATTCTGCCATGAGATAACTGGTAAGCCCACAGTTACTCCCCATTTCAAGATAGGTTTGTAACTTTTCTGCTATTTG